GCTGAAGCAAAGCCCCCAGGATTTGGAACTCCCTCCAGCCTCCTGCTGGGGTGGAATCAGCAGGGCTCGAGGGCAGCCCTTGCAGGGGAGGGAGTCTCAGGGGGGTGCACAGCAGGTCCCTCGTTTGTGACGAAAGGCTGAGATGAAGCAGGCAAGGGGGTTTCAGACTAATCCCTCTTATTCTGTTATGCTGAGGGAGGACACTTTGCACAGTCCCCACCAGCAGCACCCAGAGCACGAAACCCCAGGAGACCACTCTGTTGCAGAGCTTGGCATGGGGAGGACACACCCCCCTCACACATTGCTCCAAATATAGATCCCATTAACCATTGCAATTAACACGAGCCAGGCCCTCTCTCCTCTTTGTCGCCCCAGCCAAAGCTGTACATAAAAATAACTGTTTATTACACAGCAGGCAGAGCCCGGCTTATCACTGCAGACAGGAAATTGCCGTGCAGAAACCGCACGTTTCACTTTTAATAAGTTTGGCAGTAAAACATCTCGTCAAACGAGGCCACGACAGGGCAATAATGAAGATTCCATGTGGCCTGTAATTGCTCACTGCTCTCCTGGGGGTGAGCCAGAAAGCGTGGAGCGAGGTGGGAGACGTATGGCAGCATCATCTGCCCTCACCTCCTGCTCAGGGAGCATCCTTCCTTATCCCTGGCAGCATCCCCGGATCACTGGCACCCTCCAGGACATGGCTGAGGAGAAGGTCTGTCCCATGGAGTGCTGGAGGAGGTGTCGGAGAAATAGGGTGGCTCTTGGTGCTCCAAGGGAAAGGAAAAGGTTTTCTGCTTTCCAAGCAGGACTTTCCAGCACTGAGTAGTCTTCAAGGCTGAGTGGGTACTCTTGCACACCATCCATCCCCACCCTTATCCAAGAGGGATACAGTCTCCTGGAGGTTTTGCACAAGTGGTCTCGGGGGGGGAACTGAGGATGGGGAACTCAGCATGGCAATGGAGGGTCCCACAGGGCTCCCTCTGCTGAACCTCTGCTATGGAGCTATCCTGCCAAAGGCCAGGAAGTGACACCGTGCCTGTCTGTTCTGACACCCTCGTGCTGGTGGTCTCAGGCCACCAGCTGGTGACACTTCAGCCAGGTGGCACCGGCTGCCAGAGATGGTCCCTTGCATCGAAGGGTGGTGATGGTGTTTCCAGGTGCTCCCTTCATGATGAGTCTTTCTTTCCCTAAAGGAAACCAGGTCCAGCAAGGGATCGGTCAGTGCCCCAATCTATTTCTGTAGCTTCTCAGCCTCTGTTTGATCCTTTGGATGCTAGTGGACACAAACCAGCCTGACACAGGCCTATTCAGAGTGATGGGAGCAGCTCGGGGCACCCTGGCGGGGTACCCCAACCACAGATGGGTGATGGGGATGCACCATGCAGCCTGCAAAGCCCAGAATGATGAAGCAGTCCCTCATCACCTGTGGAGGCAAAGCTGGGTCCTTGCTGCCTTCTCTGAGTTAATCTCTGCCTGAGCTGCCCATTCCCACCAGCCATTCCCCCTTGGCAGGGAGGGAACAGAGAGGTCCAGGAGGACGTGGTGCAACCAACACTGTTAAGATGAGCTCTGGCATCGAGGTAATAGGAGACAAAATGATGCATGTCGAGGCTGGCACTAGGAAATGAGGCGGTTTAGAGTCACAGCAGGAACGTGCTGGTGCTGGCAGGGACCGCTGGCAGGCTCTCGGGTGGGCAGGAGGCTTTGTTCGCCTGCAGCACTGCTCTTGGGGAGTTTACCTGGAATTACTGATCCGCATTCATAAACATGATCACATTAATTGGCTGCCGAGGCTGCAGTCGCCGTCTCCTCTCAGCACTGGGACTTCATCTCCCTTCCCATCCCAAATGTCAGGATGTGTCTGTTCTTCCATCCACTCGGCACCATGGCCAAGGACAGAGAAGCAGTTGGAGAAAGGAAATAGGCAGAGGATGGGTGAGTCCATGAGCCTGGAGCCAGTGACAGACACCCACTGCCACCACCTCCATGCTGCAAAGCAGCGCCTTGAAAATAAACAGCAGACACCTTCTGGAGGGGACTGGGAGCTCTGCAGGAATCTCTGTAACCCTGGGCAGTGATGACTTGGGAACAGGCACCTGGGCTAGAGACCAGCTTTTATGGCAGGAGCAATGACTGGTGGGCAGGAGAGGGACCAGTTCCCAGCTGAGGACAGAGACACTCAGGCTTCTCAGCCTGAGACCAGGCTGGTGCTTGTCTCACTTGGAGCGGGGCCAATCACTTCTAGTAAATTATTCATCCGACAAATTTAGCCTGTTATTCTAGTCGTGCTCTACCCAGAGTTTTACAGATTTCATTATTATTTCAAATTGTGCAAACACCGCAGAAACCTCTCTGGGGCTCTGGAGCGCTCTGCCTTCATCTCAGCTCATCTGCCACACCTGGAACAGGATTTTTACCATCTAGTGCCAAACCCTCCTTCCCCAGCATGGCCACAGGACCTTGTGGAGGTGAGTGGCATCCCTGTTCAGCATTAGGCTTCTGCTGAGGGGAGAACTATCTACTGTGTGAGAACCATCTACTGATGACCTGGGGGTCAGTGGGATCACAGGAGACCATGGCACACCAATGGACCCATACAAACATATTCTGACTTTTTTTCACCTCCATCCTTGTATCTGGGGCAGGGGAGAAAAATGACAGCACTGTTCAGCACTGTTCCCTTGTATTCTGCACTATCTTGTTTCCTAAGCCTGGTCACCTTGGGAAAGCAGGAAAAGATTTTCCCTTCCTCCCGACATGCCATAATTTCTCCTGTGAGGTTTCTTTGTAGTCATGAGGGTACAGCTAAAACTTTGCACTGCCAAAGAGAATCATATGCCTCTTGCAACATATACAGCCTGGGAAAGGAAGGGAGATGGATGAGTTTTGTGGGGACAAGCTAAGAGCTATCAGACCCATGAGTGGAGCAGCAATGTGTCTGGGGAGAAGTTGTCAACCAGGAATGGTCGAGGCACTTTAACCTTTCATCTCAACACAGAGTGTGAAGGAGAAGAGCAGCCAGTGACACCACCTCCTTGTCTGCCCAGAGCTGGTGGAGAAATGCCACCAGCATTGCAAGCCCATTTCCCCCACATCAGGGCTCATCACTCATGTGATGATGATCAGCTCACACTCACTTATGGGGAGAAAAACTGGGCAAAGAGGCCCAGGAATACCAAATGAACTATCCCTAAGGGCTGCTAATGCACAGTTTCACCAAAACCACCAGAAAATAGCATAAATTTCTACATAGGGACCTGCCAGGGCTCCCTATGGAGCCCTGTATTATGGGACACTTGAATTACTCTTATTAAAGGGGGATTAACTAGCTGAACAGCAGGGTCGGAAGTAAGAGATGCAAAACACAGAGCAACAGATTTAAGGAAGAGGTTTACTGGCCAAAAGAAAAACATAAAAGAAATACAAAAAAATAAATCGGAGTGCTCTAAATCTTTTCTTTCTGACCAGGCTGAAGAAGCTCATGGGTGGTAAAAAAGGGGAACGACGGAGCGTGGAAACACTTGTCCTGCATCCCTGTGAGCCCCATTTGTGGCAGGGAGAGGGAATGCTCAGAGCGGGGCCCGGTGGGACAAGGATGGACGTGGTGCCTGGTTCCCTCTGGAAGACTAGTGATTTTGTTGTTGTATGGCTCATCCCACCACAACAAGTCACAGTCTGCCCTAGGGCGCACGGCCTCTGCAGTGACACCAAAGGCGTGGGGACAAGATGGTGACTGGGGCTGCCTGTGGCCCTTCTCCACTTCTGACCACCTCGGACGTTGCTTTTGTGAGCCTTGAGAGTGAAGCAACGAGAGGCGGGTCTGAAACCCCACCTTCAACCATGCCCTGCCCAGAGCTGCCCCCCGCAACCCTGGGGAGCACAGCCTGGAGGATGCAAACCCTGCAGGAGCTGCTGCGCCTCAGCCCACCCCACCCTCAGAAGGAGGGATGCCCACAGGGCCAGCACTGCACCGCAGGAAACACACAGGAAAACCACAGTTTCTGTGCCAGGCTGCACTCCAGGGCACGGAGCTGTATGCCCCAAAATAAAAACCACCCCTCCAAAACACGAGAGGCAAGCTGAATCGCTATAGTTGACCTACGAAAACAACAACCTCGTGGCAAAGCAATGAATTTACTTTTTGATTACTTTCGTTTCTCGTGCACATATCTTTATGTCGCAACTTTGATTCTGATAACACTCTGTTGACCAATTACGCACAAACACGCAAAATATGCATAAAATTTTATCCCACCCCCAAAACCCAACACCTCGAAGGTGCCCTCCCCACCAGGTGAGAGTCCTGAAGCCATGAGCGTCTGGTTCTGGGATATAAACCCCAGATACATCCTGACATTCCCAATTCCCCCCTCGCGCTATAACCGGGGCCCCAGAAGCCCCGCCCACCGCTCAGCCCTGCCGGGCCCCGCCCCCGGCATGCAAATCACCCGCCATTCAGCCAATAGGGGCACTGGGGGCGTGGCCACGGCGGGACTTGCCCGGGCATTGTGAGCGGCGGCTTCCGGCGGGACACTGGGAGCGCGCGGCCCGGTCAGGAGCGGGGCACAGGGGGAGACAGGGGGCCTTGGGGTGGGGGGAGCGGGGCAGGGGGCAGGTACGGGCCTGGGAATGGGTGATGGGGCGGCAGGGGCGCTGGGGCCCGGAGCGAGGCGAGAGAGAGCCCGGGTAATGGGCAGACAGGGCTCTGGGAGCACGGTTAATGGGGTGGGCAGGGGGGGTAGTTGGGTGGGCAGGGGGCTGCGGATCGGCGAGAGAGTTGGCAAGGCCATGGGGCCGGGAAAGAGGCGGTTTGGGACCGGGCAATGAACGGCAAAGGGGTGGGGACAGGGTGTGACAGTGTGTCCGTGTGCACCTCCCCCACTGCCCCCCCCCTTCCCTGTCCCATAACTCCTGTCTGTGCCTGCGGGATGAGGGGGGTTCCTACGGGGTATGCGCGTCGTTTTTGACTGGGGAGCACGGGGGCTGCGCGGCACTCATGCCCCCCTGTGCACACTCCAGCAGGAATGCCACCTGGCAAAGGGCAGATGACCCCGCTGCTGCCCGCCCCGACGGTCTCTGCGCCCACCCTGCAGGGCACCCATGGCCCCTCCGCGGGGGGCTGCCCTCAGGCCCCGAAGGGTCCCAGCTCGCCGCAGGGCCGCAGCAAGAAGAAGAGCCGTAAGCACCAGCGGTTCCTGGAGCGCCGGGCGCTGCTGGAGCAGAAGGGGCTGCTGAGCCCCCGCGAGCACAGGAGCACTCAGACCCCCGTGGCGGGGCCAGAGGCACACACCGCCCTCACCAAGGCAAATGGCACCATGACACAGCGCTCTGGCAAGGTCCCCAAGCCCAAACGGGTCATCTCTGCATCCCTGTCCCCATCTGCCTCTCCGGACAGTATAGCCAGGCACCACTCCGTACTGCTGTCCCAGGGGAACGACAGCTCCAAGAAGGTGAGAATGTCCTCACTGGTCCTGCGCCCGGGCAAGTACGTGGCCATTGACTGTGAGATGGTGGGCACCGGCCCTCAGGGCAGGCTGAGTGAGCTGGCACGGTGCTCTGTGGTGAACTACGAGGGGGATGTCATCTATGACAAGTACATTCAGCCTGAGCTCCCCATCGTGGACTTCCGGACACGCTGGAGTGGCATCACCAAGCAGCACATGAAGAGAGCGATTCCCTTCAAGGCTGCCCAGGCAGAGGTGAGGGGAAAAAGAGAAATTAAAAAAAAAAAAAAAACAAAACAGTATGTTATCTGCCAAACACAAATTGGGGTTTTTGGTGGCCCATGCTGAACTGCTCTGAGGCAGAGACACAACCACAGGATGGGAAGCCTCTGAAGCTGTGCAGTGGGTTGTTTTGGTGGCTGTTGCTCCCTTCTGGGAACCTAAAAACTGGAAGTCAAGGAGCTTAATTTAATAAAAAATGGTTTATTTTATGCTTAATTGGTGTTTCTTTTGCTGCCTGTCTAACCCTTTCTGACTGTTCCAGATCCTGAAGATCTTGAAAGACAAGATTGTGGTAGGACACGCCATCCACAATGACTTCCAAGCGCTGAAGTACTTCCACCCAAAAGACAGGACTCGAGACACCAGCCACATCCCTGTGCTGAAGCAGAGGGCAGGGCTGCCTGTCAGGGCCAACGTCTCACTCAAGAACTTAGCCTGGCACCTGCTCCATAAAAGGATCCAGGTAAGCACCAGGAACCTTGAATGGGAAGCAGTTCCTGGGTTAGCTACAAACCTGTGTGGGCAGCCTGGCCCTCCCACCTCCATGGGTGCTTTTTGTGAGATGGAGATGGCACTTGTTCACCCTGTGCCTCTGGCTATAAATAAGCTGGGAGAGCCCAGGGCCTCCCAAGCTGACCATTAAACATCTCAGTAAAACGTGGACAGGACCTGTGCCCTCCAGAAAGTGTTGAAGAGATACCTGTACCTCCTTGGTTGCATCAAACCTTTGCTGTCTCCAAAACCCACAGCATTTGTGTACTTCTGAGCAAGCAGACAACGTGACCTGTGGGATTTTTGCTGCGCCTTTTGTCTAACTGAGGCTTTTCCCCCTTTGCTCAGGTTGGCCATAAAGGACACTCGTCAGTGGAAGATGCTCAAACAGCCATGGAGCTGTACAGACTGGTGGAGGTGCAGTGGGAGAAGGAGCTGGCCCATAGCCTGCCCCCCCGGCCCCCCAGCCCCGTCACAGACCCCACTGCAGACAGCAGCCAGTACTTGGATGACCAGTACTGGCCCACAGACCTGATGGCAAGTGGCCTGTGATGGGGGACAGCGTCTCCTCCGTGTGTTTTGGGCCATCCTGGTGCCTTCAGCTCTGGAAGGTGGAAGTGACTGCTGACCTCCTTCCCCAGGGCTTGTACTCCATGGGTCTGCCCAGTACCCAGCCCTGCCCAGGGATGGAGACATGGTGACACCTGGACACCAGCAATCTCCCAGAAATGCTGTCTGCAGCCCCTAGTTTGTGCACAGAAATGAGGGCTGTGGCTGCACTGTGTTCATCTGTCACTTTGGGATGAGTAGGGTCCCTGGCGTCAGCCTGGAGGAGCCCCCATGGGCATGTGTGGTGGGGGCTACCAGCACATCCTCCGTGCCTTCCATGGGCTTGTCCCCTTCCCAGATGGAAGTGGCAGGTTTTCCTGTGGAAGGACTGAGGTGTTTTGCTGATGCCCAAAGGTGCAAACCATCCAGGGCCAGTAAACGATCAGCTTCCTCCTTTTTTTCATAGACTTGTAAAATATGCTGAGTTGGAAGGGATATGTCAGGATCATAGAGTCCAACTCCTGGCCCTGCACAGGACACCCCAAGAGTCCTGCCATGTGCCTGAGAGTGTTGTCCAAACACTTCTTGAACTCAGACAGGCTTGGTGCTATGACCACTTCCATGGGGAGCCTGTTCCAGTGCTCAACCATCTGGGTGAAAAACCTTTTCCTGATATCCAGCCTAAACCTCCCCTGACTCAGCTTCATGCCATTTCCTTGAGTCCTGTCACTGGTCACAAGAGAAGAGGTTGGTGCCTGCCCCTTCGCTTCCCCTCATGAGGATGTTGAAGATTGCAATGAGGTCTCCTCTCAGTCACCTCTAGGCTGAACAAACCAAGTGACCTCAGCCACTCCTCATAAGGATTCCCTTCCAGTCTCTTCACCATCCTCATGGCCCTCCTTTGGACGCTCTCTAGCACTTAAAGTCTTTTTTTAATGTTGTGGTGCCCAGAATTGCACACAATACTCAAGGTGAGGTCACAGCAGTGTAAAGCAGAGCAGGACAGTCCCCTTACTTAGTATTCCTTCAAGTCCTGTGCCTCGGTTGTTAAGATGTTGAAGAGAACTGGGCCAAGGATGAGCCCTGTGTAACCCCACTAGCGACAGGTTGCCAGTCTGATGTCACCCTGTTCACTCTTTGTGCCCAACCTGTGAACCAGTTGCTGACCCATCATGTGACATGGTTATCCAGCTGTGTGCTGGACGTTTTGTCCAGAAGGATACTGTGAGAGACTGTCCCAAAAACATTGCTGAATTCAAAAAAGATAACATCTACCGGCATGCATTGATCAATCAGGTGGGTTACCCTGTTGTAGAAGGAAATCAGGTTTGATGAGCAGGACTTTCCTCTCATGAAGCCGTGCTGGCTGTGATTGATGACTGTTTGTCCTCCAGGTGTTTTTCAATACCTCCCAGAATAATCTTTGTGATTTTACTGGGCATTGAAGAGAGACTGACAGGCCTGTAGCTTCCAGGGTCCACCTTCTTGCCGTTTTTGAAAACTGAGACAACATTCGCTGGCTTCCAGTCAGCTTGGACCTCTCCAGATTCCCAAGACCGCTCAAAAGTCATTGGGAGAGGCTTTGTGATGACATAAGTTAGCTCTTGAAGGATTCTTGGATGAATCCCACCACACCCCATAGATTTGTAGGGATCCAGCTGCACAATAAAGCCTGAGAAAAAAGTCTGGATCTGATCAATGTCCAGTGTGGACAAGAGCATAGAATGCACTTCATTTTAAATAAATTATTGACATAATTGTCCAGTTCTGAATTAAAAACTGTTCTTGCTAAACCCTTGTGTACATTCTGCATGATTTGATCTGGCAGTTCTACAGGAGCAAGAGGGTGGGGTGAGATTGGCCTGAGTACCGTGTCATGCTCCAGGGCTTAAAACCCACCTGCAACTGGAAAAGGTGCTTCAAATGGCCTGACAGTGGATGGAGTAAGTAGTTCCTTGGGGTACAGGCTTGTCCTCTTTGGAGGAGCAGGGGATGGGCTTAGCTGGAGCTGTGCAATCCAGCACTTCATCTGCTTGGAGAAAGCTCAGTGCAAGCAGGCATCCTGCTCTGTCACCGTCCAGCAGCGGGGCTGTCCCAGCTCAGGGAGCTCCCTGTGTTAAGGAGAGGCACTGTTGCAATTTGCTCACCTCACAGGTCAGTGTTCCTTCCCCCAGCGTCTGTGAGTGAAAGCTGTGCAGGCATGGGTGAGCTGTGGCATGGGCTGCTGTGATGGTGTGGGGACAGGGTGATGCTCACCTGCAGTGACTCTGTCTGTAGGTGACATATATGTGGCTGCAGAGATGTGTCCCAGCTGGGTGTGGGAGCACCAGAGAGGGTTTTGGGGCTGGACACGGAATTGTGTGCTTCCCCAGGGAACTGAACAACTATGGTTATAGAAAATTAATAGTTTTTTGCCATGTGCCTCAAGGTCAGCCCTCAACAGCCCTTTAGCACAGTCCCACTGCCTGGGCTGTGAGACAGGAGGTGGCAGAGGGAGCTGGAGGGCTGCCAGCACCCTGGGGACTTTGGGGAGCCTGGTGCAGCACACTGGGATACAGCAGCCAGCACTGGAATGGAGCTCACAACTCCCTCGGCCAGGCTAGACCATCCCAGGCTTTTCCCAGCAAGCTGTGGGAGGTAAGGAGAGCTCAGCCCCAGCCTTGGGAAGTGGCCAAGGCAGCCGGGTGACGCAGGCACACCTGACGCACACATCAGTGCCATTACCAGGCACATCTTGCACTTCCCTTCTTAACTCCTCCTTGCCTGGTAGAGGAAGCCAGGAACAGCTCAGAAATGCTTTGAAACGTGTCTGACACATCCAAAAAAATCTTGGTCCTCACAATGGCCCAAACACAACCATCCTTCAACAGATATAGTAACCAGGGCTCTGCTGTGAGCCCATGGTCTGGGCGCTCTCCACTAGACCTGGTAGGAAACACAGCCTCACAGTAGGACTTTGAATCCTGCTTGTTCCATTTTCTCCCAGGTGTGTTCCTGGTGCAGCAAGCTGTAAAACAGGGCCAGCACCACCCCCTGTGCCAGCCTTGGGGTGCAGCTCAGCTGAGCCCCAGCAGAATGCCATGCAATGTCAGCAGGACCTGGCAAGGTATGGCAGGGACTGAACCCCACGGGGCACAAAGAGGGGTGCAGGAGGAGCACAGCTGGGGCAGGCTTTTCTGTTTCGTCCTCTGTCATTTCCACCTCTCCCAGTGGGGCAGGAGGGAAGTGAGGGTGTAGGAAAGGTGAAAGCTCAGTGGGCCTGCACGCAATGGTCAGATGATGGGGGCATTCTAAAGGCAATGCAGCAGCACTGTCTTCTGCTCCTGGAAAAGCAGACCCAGAGGAAAGACACAGCAGAGGGATGCTTTGCTTATGGCCATATAACCTGGCCCATGTAACTGCATCCCCTCGGGGGGCACTCGAGTTCATGGGGCACCCCACAGCTCCAAACTTGTTTATCCACCTGAGTGGAGGAACTTGTTGCCTCCCCAGCCCCCTGCACAGCACAGCCCCGGGGTTGCACAGTAGCACAAAGCACTGAGAGCTTGTCCCCACTGACGCCTCACTTATTTAACCCTCCCTGCTTTGGGAGCAAATTTGGGGGCAGCAAAGCAGGCAAAGGCCAGCTGCTCTTTGGTGCTGACACATCCTGCAAGCTTTGCCACAATCTCCAGTACTCTGGGAGGGTGAGAAACAAATTTGGGGGTTAATCCCTATTTGCATCAGGTGTGAGGGGCTTGGAAAACCCCAACACTGTGCTGCAGCCCCCAGCCCTCCACAAAAACTGCTGCTGAGCAAACCCCACATGGATGATTAGGGGTGGTGGCAATCTGCTCCCTGCCAACGATGTTTGCTCTGAATAATCTAAATGGTGACATTGGGCCCATTTTCACCCTCTGAGAGCTAATCAGGATTTTCACAGGTGTTTGTGAATATTCACCAACATGCCAACTCGGAGTTGCCATGGCTGAACACGCTTGGGCTCATCACACACTCTGGCTCATCCCACAAGCGGCCCACTGGTGCTCATGTCGGGAGGCTGAGCATCTTTAGGCGGATGAAGGAGAGCGGGGCTGTCTCACAATTTATGCTTAATTTTGCGGTAATTGAAGAATCTGCAGAAAACTCAGCCATTATCTCAACAACTCTGAACAATGATTAACCCAAACCCACAAATCCAGCACTGGGCTTTTTTATCAGAGGGAAAACATTGTCAAATGAGTTTTTTTCCAGCCAGCTGCGAGTGCAGGTAACCGATAAGCCCGTCATTGGAGTGGGGCTGAGCCAATGGGAGCTGATGGCGACGGCTTTTGCTTCTGTCTAGCAACAGCTTCTCCTTGAGCAGCAGACACAATCCAATTCTTTCTGTTGCTTTCATTGAGCTTCCCTCCTACTACATGGGGGTTTTCTTAGGGGACACTCAGAAACTGAGTTTCATGTGGATTGCCCACGTTTTTCTGCATGTTTTGGTGTCTATTCCTGTCCTGCATGGTGAGAGCTTTGCAGCTGTAAAAGGCTCCATCCTGCTCATATCCTGGGCTCTGCTCACACCCTGTTTTGTCCATGCACCACAGCTCTGTCGGGTGGATGTTGGACACCCATAGGGTACTTGGAATAGCACCATAGCAGAACAGCAGCTGTACTGGGGGTCCCTGTATCAGGGATCTGTCTGATCAGAGGTCAGGCATCACCAATGCCTGACCATGGTCCAGCACCTCTCCCATCTGCTGGGGGCTGTTTGCATGGGGACTGCAGCTGGGAGCAGCATCCCCTGATCAAACACCTGGTAAGCTTTGCTTCTGGCTCTGCTTATCATGGTACATGTGGTTGAAATGTCACATATACTCCAAATCACAGCACCATAGAATATCCCGAGTTGGAGGGAACCCCACCAACACCTGGTTACACGGGATATCACTAAAAATCACAACATGAGTGTCTTGGGGTGGAGCAATACCTAATTACAGCCTGGAGCAAGCCCCCAGCCCCAGCCTGAGACTCTCTGTCCCCTGGCTGTGGGGACACAGAGGGACAATTCACCCTTTTTGCAGTCAGAAACACGAGGCTTCGCTCGGGCATTCACCAGAGACCAGAGCAGAGGGAGGACCCGGCCCCCTTGTATCCCAGCCCCATCACTACCCCCACCCACCATCACCCCTCTCTACCCTCTGAGCGTAAATTAGAAGGGAGAAAACTCTCAGACAACTATAAATTAAAATCCTAGGAGTTTTAATAAGCTACTTGGCCGGAAGAAGCAGATAGGTGTGATGTGGAAATGAATAGGCACATCTGGCAGCCGCTTAGCACCTGGGCTGCAGGAGGGGTGTGCGTGATGTGTGCGTGTGCAAACCCCAGCACAGCCTCCCGGATTGGCTGCAAAACTCCTTCCCGACCAACGCCGGGGAACGGGGTGGCCTAGCAACAGTCTTTTCCTAATGAAAAACAAGCCACTTAACTAACCATCGTGACTGTGTGCATATGAGAGGAAAAGGCACAGTTCCCAGCAGCTCCAT